TGAAGACTGGTTTAGAGATTATAAATTCCAGCTTTTTGTTAAAATTGAATGATATCTGGGCAGAAAACTTACTGAATTCACATGCAGGTCCTGTCCATCCAATTACACATTTACAGGTACCATTCTTAGGATCGCAAGTGCCATTGTGCATACAAAGACAATGGCTATTACAGTTGGGTCCATAATGGTCGGGCGGACATTCTGTTAACAAAACAGAACTTTTTAATCTTTGGACAATAATAATTATGAGAAAGGATATTTTGATTTGATTTGCATAAGCATTATGTGCTTTAAGCGAAATGAACGATTCACCTTCTTCGCAATGTGGTCCCATAAATCCTGCTGGACAATCACAATTCCCGGTAAATCGATCACATATTCCACCGTTCATGCACTGGCATTCTTCTTTACAACCAATACCCCAGCTAGAAATACATGAATTTCACAGATGCACGATAAAAGATATAAGGCATTCGAGATTCCTTTAATGTCTAAAGTTACAATTTCAGGTTAAAATTTTCTTTTTTCTTGAATAACCTGCCAGAAACCCTATAACAAGTTCATCGCCTTTGACAAAAGAAATTTGAAGAGGACAAATTGAATGAATAATCGAAATTCTGTCAACCAAATTTTAAGTTTTTTTAGCATAAAATAATTGCAAATATAATATTAATTATGATACTATCGCCGGTTTCTCATAAATTACCTGTTTGATGGACAGGGTGTTCGACAATTGGAACCAGTCCAACCTTCTTTACAAAGGCATTCTCCGGTCACAGGATGGCATTTCAAGACAAACAGTGCCATTTCGGTGTCATCTGAAGATCAATGTTCAGTTATCAGATGAAACTTCTTGACAAAAAAGGAAATAAAAAAAGAAAATGAAAAATAAAATGACAAGCAATGATGACGATACTAACCAAATGAAGAGCAATCGCAGACCTTTTTACAACCGTCACCGTATCGTCCATCAGGACATGGTCGATCACAGTGCTGACCACGCCAGCCAGGCTTGCAATTGCAAGCACCATTGGTCGGATCGCATGTAGCGTTATTTCGACAAATACAGATACCTTTACAACGGTCACCAAAATAACCTTCCTCACATCCTAAAATATCAGCATATCAGTTGAGCACCGTAGACTTGCACCTGTAATCACCATTGGTCAGGTCGTAAGTGTAGCATTGACAACTGAACGTGGGGAAACGCTGAAGACACAAGAGAGAAGAAGTTGATATTCAACCTATTCACAGTAGTTTCAGAATTTATCCCCGAAATAAAAAGCACTACCGGTTGAAGAGGTCATTACATACATCGTTGTATAAGAAAGACCATTGGCTATTTCGACATTCTTTGTCTCATTCAAACTTTTCCATAGAAATTTTGCTAAGGAGAATTAACTCAATTGCCCAAAATGAAAATGAAGGGAAATATAGCACTGAACAACTTACGCAGCTCACAGTTCTTCCCGTGATGTCCCGTTGGACATGTACATTCTCCGTCAATTGGGTCACATTGCACTCCTTGGTCACAATTACATCGCTCGCTGCAATTGATGCCAAAATATCCTTCCGGGCATGGTATGTCGCATTTTTGACCACTCCAACCGGTCAAACATTTGCATGAACCATTTGAAGGATCGCAATCCGCGCCATTATGACAGTCACAACGCTGCATGCAGTTTAATCCAAAACGGTGGCTTGGACAAACTACAATTTCAATTTGCATAGCAAAATTGGGATTGAATTCAATTTTGAAGCTTGCAATATCAATGATTGATTGCTATGATCATATCTGAATTTTAAACGAATAGCAAAACTACTTCACCACCAGTCAACAGACATTCTATTCTTATGTAGCACATCAAATAAGCAACAAGTCCGTATCAAGCTTCAAATTTCTATTTCTATCTAATTTTAGCATCGCTAATCTCAAAAGAAGGAATACCAAAGTTTAAAGCTGCTTATCAATAATCAAATCATAAATGACAATTACGCTAACTTATTTAACTTCACAACACTTTATCATCTCACCTGTTGCTTTGAAAATTCTAGAATAGTCAGTTATAATGTGTAGTGATTTTCGAAAATAATTTTAATTTCACTTATTGATCTTTTCCCGTTGCGTCTTTTCTTTGCTACTAATAAGTAAAACCGATATAAGATAATTTGGTATTAAAGAAATCTCGCTTGAAGTATTATTGATTAGTTTATCTTCCGGCATACACATATAACCTGAGATGGTAATGAGGAATAAAATGATTACCTTCACTACAAGCAGCACCATAATATCCTGGTGGACAAATACATGAGCCATCCTTACTATTACAGGTACCGTTATTTTTACATGAACATTCATGTTGACAATTGGGACCGTATAGGCCCGTAGGACACACTGAAATGAAATGGCTTAATGCATTTTTGCTCATTTCACAATTAAGTAATAGATTAATCTTCATAGCTGGAAATAATTTACAATAAACTGCTATGAAATGATTGCTAATATAATTCGGCTAATGATAAAATCACTGATAATGATAACTAATTAAACCACCTACAGTAGTTCACTTGAGTGACTTTTCGTTAATCATAATCAAAAGAGTGACATGCAGTGGAAGAATATTGCTGCTCTGGTCGGATGGATCTACTATGCTCATGTTTGCAAGCACTATTTAACTCACTGTTTTTTTTTTGTATGCAATCAAACATTAGCATGCTTTCTGCATGCATTCTCTTACATGCTTGAGAAATTCTAAAAAAAAGAAATAGGAACGAAAGTGAAAATCGAACAGCTCACTCTTTTCACATAATACCCCGTAGTAACCAGGTCGGCATGTACAAGTTCCAGTGACATGATGGCACACCTGAGATGCACCTGCTTCGCATGCACATTTCTGGGTACAGTTATATCCGTACATACCGGCAGGACAGGCTGAAATGGAAGATTAAAAAAAGGGAAGATTAGAATCTGTTGCATGCATGTTGCACGTTGTTCGTGTTCGCTTCATGCAGTGTACACTCGGAATGGATGTGACGGACGCTTTAAATGGTATACAGTTGCATACAGTATGGGAACAAAATATAAAATTTTGATTTTACCAAAAAAAGACTATGAAACTTGAAAAAGTAAAATTTTAAAAATCTCGAGAGACAACATCTGTTGGACCAGTGCAGAATCAATCAACATACCAAGGAGCAGAATCATGAATGAGTGACAGCTATCTTGAACTTATAAACTCACGGATCTGGCATTGGTCACCGGTGTATCCTGGACGACATTTCTTGATACAATCTCCGCTAATTGAATCACACTCTTGATTTTCAGCGCACCAACATTTTTTGGTACAGGACTGTCCATAGAAACCGACTGGACAACGTCGTTTACAGAATGGACCGTAGAAACCACTTTTACAAATGCATTTTCCAGTCTATAAATCAAATTTCCATTATTCGGATCAATTTCCTGATTGCTTCCGGTAATTATCTGACGTTCATACATCTTTGTATTCCTTTTTGGTCAGCAGATACAATGGGAAAGGGTCATATTAAATTCAAAGTGTAATAGCATACCTTTGGGTCACAACCTTCTGAGTATTCTATCTCGCAGTTGCAAACATGACGACAGTTACGACCATAGTTGAATCGCGGGCAAATCTGATCACATTTTTCACCGTAATAACCAGCTGGACAAGAGCAATACCCATATTTCCTATCGCATCGTCCACTGCTACAGGTCATCTGACATGGTAAGTTGCACGAAGGTCCATAAAAGCCTATGATTTTGTTGCTGATTAGATGAAAGTTCAAATAAGTGATAAGGCACCAAATAGTGAATAATGTATAATTAATTAATCTTTAAGTCTCTCTTGAAAATAAAGAAACGTTAAGTGTGTAACATTTTTCCTTGTCTTGTAATATTCAAAAGCCAAATTTTAAGTTTCTAGAGAGATTATTGTTGTGTTAAAAAAACAGGGAACTGTAATGACTGACCAGCCGGACAACTATCCTCACATTCCGCACCATCCGGACAATCGCATTCACCGGTAATATGATTGCAAATTTGTCCATTACATTCGCATGCCTTTTTACAACCTAATCCCCAAGTACCTTCAGGACATCGATCCTCGCATACTATACCTGTGTATCCGGAAGCACACTCACAACCGCTTTTATTACGACGACATTTTCCTATAAAAAATGTAAATGAATGAAGTCTTAAAGAAGTAAAAATTTATAAGATATATTTGAAAGATTACAAAAATGAAATAAATCGATGGAAAATATAAAAAAGCGTTAATTTTACATAACATCCCAGGTTAGCTTTAACTATTCCACATAGCACAATTGAACCAACCTCCATTTTTACAATCAGCACATCTGTAACGGCATTCTGCACCAAAGCGCCCATATTCGCAAGCTGTAAGTGAAAAAAAAAGCCATATTTAGCAATCTTTTCAATTAACAAAAATCAACTAATGATTTATATTGGACTAAAACGATACAACAACGATGACGCAAACATTATGATTACAAAGATAACAACTACTACTAATATTGCATAGCTGTAAAAAGAATAAACATTTGTATCCCATTTTATGGCCCAATCTTTGGCTATTATTGATGAGTATAAGTCATGTAATATGAAAAGTTGCATGAAAATGGATAGAACTTAACGATATGCTAAATTACATCACACATAACGAATCACAAATAGGTAATGCATTCCTGTTCAGAATATACAAGTTACAGAATCATTGAACCATTTTTCAACGATCAGATGAATATGCATATTTTTAAATAAATGAAACTAAACTGGAATAAAAAAAAAAGAAAAAGTAAGAAGGAGTATAGAAAATAAGAAATTATTGACCAGTAGGTAGACTGTGCAGCATACGAATGGTACCAAAATGTGACAGTTTGGGAAGATCGTGAGGTATGTTTGCTTCTTGTGTTAAAACCTCGAAGTGTTCTTGTTGTAATTCATGTTCAATTATATCATGATCAGTTAATGATGCTATCCTTCCTGCATTTTCTGAAATTGGAGACCACACGACAAACATGCATTTAACAAGCATGCTAACAATTTTAGATAATTTTCTTATAAATAAGAGAACTTGAATAAAAAATAAGATGCGAATCATTAGGCTAATTAGAGAATATTTGTGAAGGGAATCTTTTTCTTTTTTCAACTAAATAGCACGTAAATCAGTGTCACGCAAGTCAGTGTCACATAAGTTAGTCAATGACTAAAGCATGGGATGCGTATATTACGCATATAAAAGAAACGAATGTTAGCATCACTTGATGCTATTTTACTTTTAAATTTATACTTTGTAATTAAAGGAATAAGGTAATCATGGATACAAACACAATCACCACAAATATTAAAGTTGACAGCATTACGAATACTGCAAAGTTACACTTAAGTACGCATACGTCGGGGAGAAGAATCAGTCGTCAAATGTACAAACAGCAAATTTGACAGAAGTGAAGCTGAAATGAGTTCAAATCCTAAATGCACTGATTTAAATTCCAAACCACAAGTTAACATTTGTGACTTTGTGACTGTGTCACGTAAGTTAACGTAATAAATGCAAAGATATATCAAACGGAAAATATTACCAATACACGTTTTGGCATCATTCGCAAGACTGAAACCACGGAAGCACTCGCAATGATAAGTACCATCCTCATTCTTGCATAATTGACTGCATTCACCGTTGTTTGTTAAGCATTCGTTAATATCTAAATAACAATCACAATATCATTCTATTATTAGATTCCAATAGTTTAATGCAATAAAAAGGTATAAAAATGCATGCAGGAAATTAGATAAAGCTCTCTGAGTGGATACTTATCAGTGATTGATAAGAGTTATTAAAAGTTATGTACTATCCTTTCTTCATCGTTAATAGCTTTTATTTTCTTTTTTTTGTTTTTGTGAAACCTTCGGCTGTCTTTTTGTTTATTGTTTTTAGTAAACAGAAGATGGAAAGCGGTACAGGTGATGAATATACTTTAACTTCTACTGCTTCATTTGACTTATCATACAACTTGAGAGTTATCATCGGTTCGATGGAATTCCTGCATTACAGTATTTCTAGTCACCTAAATCTGAATGGAAAAGCACCGAACCGTGACAGGAATGGTTGTCAGATGCTAAGTTATAGCCAACTTCACATGTACATGCATATCCACCCTCTTCATTGATACAGTGATGCTCGCAACCAGCATTATTTGCGATACATTCATTAATATCTGCAAAGGTATGTAAGAGAATCAACAATGATTAGTTAAATATGTGCTTATGGTATACTTATTCAGGTACTGTATTGTGTTATAGGAGTAACCTTCGCAAGTTTTGCCATCGTAAATGAGTAAAAAACCAGTTCTGCAGGAACAGTGATAGCTTCCGGGCAGGTTAATGCAAAGCTGTTTGCAGCCACCATTGTCCTCCATGCATTCGTCAATGTCTGAATGGATTCATAATTAAAATCATGACTTGCAATAAAATAAAAATGTTTCTTGAATGATCAGAAAATAATTTGCTTGAGAAATTACTCTACTGAAAAAAAAGAAACTATTATCAGAAGCTGGAATGATCACTGATATGGATGAAGATCAGGGAAGTTTACCAGAGCAAGATCTATCATCGTCGATAAGTTGATAACCAGCTCTACAAGAGCATTTCAGGCTGCCATCTTCATTACTTTCGCATATCTGCTCACAATCTCCATTTCTATTCTACAACTTCAGTTCATGGTATTTCATGAATTCGCATGAAGAATCGATTCATTTCTCATATCAATCATTTTTTTTTAAATATACAGTATGGGCTATAAAGACTAACCTGACACGGATCAATTATTGGCTTACATTGGCGTCCATCTGATAGTAGTTGATATCCAGGGCGACAACGACATCTTCAACGAATTTACAGTAATTTTGCCAGATTTTAATTTAATATCCACTGTTGACTAATCTCATTTTATAATTATTATAAAATAGGTCATTTGCATCAGAAATTTTGAACCAAAGTTTGGTATTGCCATGTCTCGAAATCTAACTTTCAGTACCTAATAATCATTAAGATGAATTTCTGAGAGACAAATAAGAAGAAATAAATGATGCTTGTTTTGCTTCAGACGAGATTCCGAAATACCATAATTTGTACTAGAAGCCTAATGTAGAACGAGGGAATAGTTGCTATGATTCCTACATGTTCAATTTAACGGTAACTTTTGATATTCTTCTCAAATCCTCTATTTTGCACAGTTCTATCATTTTTTACCAGAAATACAGCAACAACTTTCATAAAAATAAGAATTCATTCCTTCCTCTTCCATAGTAAATGATACAGTAGATAATCTGTATTCCTCCTTTATCACTTATTACATTTCAGGATAGGAAATCAAGTTTACAATACCTGTATGTTCCATAGACATTAATACATTCATGCTCACATTCTGAATCCTTTGTTGTTGCGCATTCATCAATATCTGCAAAAAAAAAAAATCTTATTCCACTTTCATATTAATTTCAAAATTTTAAACTTCCACATGATAATGATCATATCAACAGTGAATTGCTGAAAAGAAATTGATTTAGAAAAGATCTAAAAAATCAATCGATATTTCATTCAAATCATTAATGACCTTTTCATGGTATGCTGCCACAACGTATGCTAACAGTTTACAAATTTAAATGTCCAAGGTTTTTATTTATTTTCAAATATCTAACAGACCAATGCATGATTTCTGATCCGGTCCAATCGTGAAACCATGATAGCATTGGCATACGGCTCTTCCGTTATCATTCACGCAGTGCTGCTCGCAACCACCACGATTTACCGCACATGGATCAATCGCTGAAAAACTGATTATCAAAGTGAGCAGTGGAATCCACCTAGAATCATAATGTTTTCATTGTTGCAATCAACTTCATGAGAAATTATAGGATTTCTGGAATGATGTTGATGAATGGATTAACATTTGCAGGCTAGCAGATTTTTCACAGTTTCAGCACCTGATTTCTCAGATAGAATGCAATAATTGAAGCATATTTGCGGGATACAACCGGAAAAAGGAATTGGTAATGGAAAAAGATATGAAGCAGGAATACCGGAATGACCAATACTATAAATCGTCCCCCTCGATGGCATATCTCCAAAAATTCCAGACGAAAGTTCGGAATGCCATCGTTCGATTCTTCTAGATAAGAGCAAGTGTTTTATTCTTTTTTGCCAAAATTGTTCTACCATTTTCAAAAGTTATTTGATGGAAAAAAAAATACGATTTTCATTTGAAACTCAATTTTCCCTTCGTAATATTGTTTGTCATCCATCGAGTAGGATATTTAAAGAGGGGACAGCAGCATCAACAATGGACAATTGTCTTCAGGCTGAACAATAGACAGTGGTAGACTTGGGCTTAGTCATATTAAATTATTCAAAAGGGGTTTCCGTCCATTTCCTTCCTCTTCAATCTTTCTTCCATTCAATCGTTCAGGAAATCTTTAACTTTATAAGTTCCAGCAAAAGAAAAAGTTAATTAATTACACTTGTAAATTATGAACTTGGAATTATTCATCCGATTGATAATTTTAATGGGTTTCTAAACGAGTTGTCAAATTTCAATTGACTTTTTGCTGGCAAAAAAATTCCTGCAAAGTTTTATGAAATGCTAAATTTAGTAATTAAAAGAAATTCCTTCCAATGAAATTATTTTCCTTTTAAATTGTCTATTAAAATAGTTCATAATGGATTTTCCAACTTCAAGCTATCCAAGGGTACGTTTGTCTCCAAAATCCTTAAGCAAATAAACGATCATATCTCTTCAAGAAGCTGCTCTATCATATGCTATCATATTCCGACAATAATGAGCTTCATATTCGATTTCGTGGAAAAATCTTTCAACTTAATTCATGTTTTGACGGCACTAATTACTTACGATGACATCGCCGTTTGTCGGCAGCGAGTTTGAACCCTTGGCGACATTTGCATCGATGAAATCGTCCATGCCTTTCTTCACAGATCTGTTCACATCCGCCATTGTCTGTTGCACAGATGTTTCGACCTGATGATGGTTAAAAACAGGTTGTACTTTTTTTGTTTCATTCAATTTTAACAATTTCATGAATATTACGGTAACATTTAATTGAATAATTTCCTCCTACAATCATCTATCTGAGGCAACTTCTACTTTATGCTGAAGGAAGAAGTATTAGCTGTATCAGGTTGTAAATGCAGTTCAAATATGCATGCATGCATGCATTCAAGCATTCAGCAGAACAAGTGTAAACAAATAGAAGTAATTATTAATGGAAGGAAAGGAGACGGTCGATGAAACGGAAAGAAATGCTTTGAAGTAGCAAACGAAATGATGACAGATGCCAAGATAAAGAGATGGAAGAATTTGCATAAATGCTAATCAGTGATGTTATCAGTTAATTCTTGTCCAAGCTTAATTGGTTATTAAAATATGATCGATCAATTTCAATCATCACTTCTTCTAATGGCCAGATGATTATTTTTTGCTCCTATTTATGCATCTTGATAAATGATAACGAAAATTAGTATCACTTCGCTCGGCCTCAATCTCCCTCACGTAATCTCTGTTCACGTCATATCATTATCTTCCCTTTGTCTTTTGCTTTAATGTTTTTCGCCAGGTGTTCCGTTTATTAATAATCGCAATTTATTGTTATCATTCCCTATTCATATCCGCCTGGTCATTTTGAATGATTCCATTTACAGTGACGACAAATCACTTCTTTGTTTCCATCTCTCTCTCTCCCTCCCTCTCTCTCCCTTTCTCTTATCAATTTCCTCCCTTCATTCCTTTTCCTCTCTTACACTTCTTATCTTCAATTTATGTAATTACCCTCAATAAATAATCTTTCTGGGATACTTTTTCAGGAAATTCTTTACCAAAAAAGTTCTCATATAACTAAAAGAGAGAGAGAGAGAGAAAAAAGATGTTTCTCAAAAACTGGAAATAGAAACATTTTGTAATTAGTGATGAACAAATACCAATTACATTCACACTATCAGTTTCGAGGAGTAGAGAGATCTGTAAATATTTATCTATCGTTGAACTCACCCTTTATCAATGACCAGAGTTTTATTAATGTTAGGCTGGTGAATTTTTTTCAGCAAAACTACTTAAATTATTCATTTAAATTCAAATAACGTGAAATTCTTACGGACACATCGACGACCATTTGAATGTAATTGCATTCTTGGTGGACATTCACAACGATATCCGCCTTCCGTATTCAGGCACCGAAATTCGCAACCGCCGTTTTCAATTTGGCATTCATCAACATCTGAAACAATTGGATTTCAATGGATATTTGAGTGACCTGAATGGAAGAATCATTCAAAATGCGAATATCAAAGTATGGGAAGTATGTCTGAAGTTACTGTAACAAATTGCATCTGAATCTCTCTTCTGTTCCATACTATGAAAATCCCAGATGGATTGATCTTTGCTGATTTGAATAAAAAAAAAAAAAGAAAGGATGGAAATACCAATGCATTTTTGATGATCATTATCTAACTGATATCCAGCAAAACAACGGCAGTAGAATGTGCCGATGGTGTTGACGCAATCATGTGGACATCCACCATTATCCACCAAGCATTCGTTTACATCTAAATATCAATTAAATGTACCATTAATAATTACAGGTACAGTTCGGAAGCGTTGGAAAAACTAGGTATAGTTAGGTACTTTTGAGTCATAAGCTTGTCACTATTCATGTATTTTAAGCAAACTTAGCGGTCAAATTGATAAATATTTGTTATTACAGTGTCCCAGAGTACATATATCAGTTTAAAAATCTCGATCAGCACCTAAATTTCAAATGCAGACTTATTTTTGTCAAATGATAAGTACCAGAACTATCGTATAGTAATTTTCAAAATATACAAATGAATTATGACTTACCATATTGGCATCGAGCACCTTGAAATCCAGGCAAGCAGCGACAAATTTCTTCACTTTTATCTGATGTTGACGGTTGACAGGTACCACCGTTATGGCATAACTCTGGTGAACAACTTGCTGCATAGGAAAAATTAAATTTTATTCTAATTCATTTAAAGTTTCTTTTTTTGCTCATTTTAAGCGATTGCAAAATGTAACATCTTAGTTGTATGACTTGACACAATTGTTTGTACAGTATTGATGGAAAATGACACTTGATCAATGATCGTCATTTATCCATCAATATGCTTTTAAATTTAACATGAAATCCGATAAAACTTGTAGTTTTCTCCTAACTTCAAATTTCTTTTCTCGAAATTATCGGAATTCAGAGACAATTCCGGAAAGTTTCATTTAACGACAGAGGGTTCCGGAAACTTTCATTGGAAGGAAATCGTCTAGAAATGAATTTTAGAAAGTTTAGTAGAAGAGAAAAGATGGCTACTACCTCGTTGACATCCTTCTTTACCGGGTACCTGAACCCAACCAGCGCAACACTGTGCTGTTGTATGCCTCCTTGTACGAGTAACATTTTTATACGTACGGTAGTATACTGTCCTGAAATGGTTTTTTTTCTTCTCTCTCTCTCTCTTTCTCTCTAAATTATCACTAAATCATCAGAACGGTAAGTTATCCTGAATCATATTTGACCTGTCCTTCAACAATATCTATCTTTTGCTTAAGTCAAAGTTGAGATTTGATTAATTCAGCGATCAAATCGACTTTCTTATTTTGATGGCTCTTGAAAAATGAGATATACAGAGAAGTCCATTTGCTGATCTGGACAATCAAGCGAAAAGGTCATTTTCTGTCTCGACACTTGTATTCCAAAATGTCACACTACATATGACAAGACATTGCGATAAAATCGGAATAAACCATCACTTCTTTATATGTCTTTCAGAGTTAAAACATGCAAATTCTAGGCATTATTAACTTGAGTACACTCCCATTTCTCCAATTTTTAAATTCTACAAAATATGCTGAATAATCAACTTTTCATTTTATTTGTTTTGGAGAAATTCTGGAAAAAACTTGTCTTTTATTTTGGAAGAATCGATCCCTTAGAAACCTTACCCCATCATTTTTTCCTCTACAAAGCTATCGAATCAATTCAGTAAGCCTATATAATTAATTACTCTAATTATTGGTTAGCGAAAAGGTCATTTTCTGTCTTGGCACCTGTACTTCTTGCATTGTAGATTGTATCAAAGTGATTAATCAGTGAAGCACCTCTCAGAAGATATCGTGAATATTGCTCATTGTTAACTTTCATTCCTGTCAAGAGAATGAATGCTAGTAAAGTGAATGCTATCACGGATAACAATTATCATTTCCCATTCATTTGCATTCTCCTTTCTTGGAAAAATTTCGACGAGGAGTTGAATGTTTCACTCATCGGAAGTAAAACTCTACCCGATCATCCCATATCTCGGTGACAAATTTGTGATGTCAACGGACAAAATCACTTTATTTGATTCATTCGTTTGTTAATATTTCGCAGTGTGAAATTTTTGAAAAATTTTAAATTATAATTCCTTGATTTAATTATTTATCCCAGAGCTTCTTTACTACGAATTTTGAAAAGAAAAAGTTAATGTGAAATATTTTTTCTCTCTCTCTCTTTCTCTCTCTCTCTCTCTCTCTCTCTGCTCAAAGTGAGGTGAATTTTTAATAATTAGATTGGTATTGGATGATGAATTTAATTCTATAATGGGGATGAAATAACGCACAAATTTGACAAGAGAAAGAAGAAAGTAATTAGGGAGAGAGAGAGAGAGAGAGAGAGAGAAAGAATGGGAGAGAGAGAAGAGATGCAATGAGGATGGGGGAAGAGGGAAATGAAAAGGGAAGTTAATGAATATCGCGGGGGAAAATGATTTATGCGTTCTCGATTTGTAGTACAACTGCTTGCTTTGTGCGTAAAATATCAAAAATGCTATAAACTACTATTACTATTACTATCATCTTTGCGCATGAAATGCATGCAGTTTTGCATGCATGCAGTTCTCATCAATCAAATTAATTTTCTTTTCAATTTATAGCGAAAAATGTTGAAATTTAAGGAAATTGCAAACTATAATCATTCTTGGTTAAAGTAAAAGGATGTTATGTGGAATTGTGCACTTACCGGAAACATTCATTTATATTGAAGAAAAAAAAAATGGGAAACGAACTTTGGTTCTCTAACTGAACAAGACCGGAATTGTCCATTACAGCCTGGTTTTCGACTTCTGATATATTTCGTATAAGCATGAACACATGGCTCACGTACTGTTACTGTTTCGATCTCTTCATGTGGACAAACATTTAATCTAAAATAAAAGTATGCCATTAATGTGAAGAAGTTTTTTTCTTTTGTTTATTCCTTCCATAATTAGTACTATATCAATACGAAGGAAAAATATGCATGGATGAAGATTTAATGCAAGATTACAGTATCATCGCATCAACTGCTTTTAAATTATTTTGTTCGTCCATTAAATTATTTCAACAATGATAATTTAACCTTCGAATTTTGTAAATAAACTTGATACATATAGCTTAGATATTATGCATTCCATTTGACCGCAATAAATTCTCAATTACATTGCGATACCTGAAGAATTTAAGTTGACAAGGCCATCTTTCCTTCTTTCTTTCCTTCCTCCCTTCTCATTTAATTACAACATGAACAACAACATACAAACATCGTTCCAAATCACCAATTTATTTTAATGAGAGCAACTAATTTATTGCCGTAACTAATAAACTTATTTCATAAGAAAGAAAGAAGACAGAAAAAAAAATAACATCTAACATATAAATTTTTTTTTTAAATAACATTTAACATATAAATCTTTTTTTTTAAGACCACTTGATACCAGTAAAATATCATTTTTCTTTCTAATAGCATTCCCAATACTTCTCTCTTGTTTGCATACGATTAATTTCAGGCTGAGTAAGGTTATCATATTTTACAGCATATTCAATTTACAAACAATTTTGGTGGTTCTGATCTGAGTGATCCGGATTTGCTTCATCCCTTTCCCTTTCCAATATTGTTTGACGTTCATGGTAAGATGTCTTCTGAACTTGCTCAGAATCGGGTTCGATGAAATTTCGAACATTTATCAATCATTCGGTTACTTCGATTAATTTTTCAAACACTTATTAGTGCATTTAACTAAAGTATTCCATAGCTAACCTTTAAATTATTTTATGACATTTTATTTTGGGAAGGATTTAGGTGATCACCCTAGACTTCATTCATTTGTTATGTGACACTTACCATGGATACCTCTCATTTCCATGTATCCTTTCTTCGATCTGATCACTCAGCATCTTTCTCTTCTTCAATCTCATCATTCCTTCATTCATTCATTCGTTTCATTATGCCACAATCACCGCAATATTTGGTTCATTTTTCCGGTGATTGATGACTTGAACCAGAGCTTACCGAGACAAAATCAATCTTATTCACTTACAAAGCCTTTTTTTTTTGAATAATCGTTTATTTTAATGGGTATTTTTCAAGAAATTACTGTAACTATTGAAAGTACATCTGTTGAATATGGTATAATGGTGATGCAACTATGGATCAGATTCGACCGTACTGGATTCTGGAAAAGGAGGAAGTATTTGTTGCAATTTGCTATTATGATTATAGTTTCTTAATCATTATCTTAATTGCGATTTTTTTTTTTTACTATCACTTTTACCTCAGTTTTACTATCTGTACCTAAATTAAAAGTGTCGATGGGAATGGACGAAAGGGAAGAATCATGCAAATAATTCATTTTCATTTTGCTGCTTCTGATGATCAATCCATCAAAATAGAACTTATTTTCTTATCATTTTGATCTCATGAATTAATCAGGATATGATAATTTTGAAGTC